TTCTTACCAGATATTAACAAATCTATTATCTTCTTCCCTCTTAATTCTTCTAGAGATCCCTTCAGTCCCTTATTTAATATTTATTTATTTCCATCATTAAATCTCCTTAAATCACCATTTTACTTTTTATTCTTCCTTTAGCAAAATGTCCATAAAAGGTTTCCAGTCTTTCAAACAAAGCACTTGTTTTCTCCCTGGCCTGAAAAGGCAGTTTTGCCAGTAGTTCTGACATTTTTACAATCCATTCCTCCACTGTAGGAACTTCAATACTCTTCCATCATAATTTGACCCTATTTTAGAAGTATAGGGGAAAGCTACAGAATCATACAGATTAGGGAACTGAAATTTCATGAGCTGTGCTTCAAATGACAGTGACATAACTAAATTAGCTTCTATGCATAAACCCAATCTAATTCTGACTTAACTATTTAGGAAGCAGGGCAAGGTAAAATATGAATAATATTTTTAAAAACCTAATATCATTTTCCTTAATACTGAATAATAGTCAGTGCTGATATGACAACATCCTAAACATCACTACTGAGAAAAAGGTCCTATAAAAAGCAGGGATAAGATTATAAGAAAATTCAGACATTTGCACTTTGCAGGTAGTTCTCAATTTATGATCACAAATGAGATTGGAGCTTCTGTTGTTAATGATGCAATTGCTAAATGAGTCACCCCGATTTTGTGGGCTTTTCTGCTGTGACAGTTAAACAAATCTAGCTTCCCCTACTGACTTTGCTTATCAGAAACCCCTTGGGAAGGTTGCAAATGTTATGACACAACCCTAGAATGTTGTAACTATTGCAAATATATGCCAGTTATTAAGTGCTTGAATTTGGATCACATAATCACAGACATTCTCCAACAGTTGTAAGTATGAGGACTGATCATGAGCCACTTTTTTCAGTGTTATCATGCAGAGGCCAAAGCTGTGCAAAGGCTCTCCTAGCTACGACTTCCATCTGTTCCTCAGCAGCAGTCCTGAGTCCAGGAGGACCCCCCTCCCCGATTGCACGCAGGGTCTGTTTGGGGCAATGCAGCCCTATCCAGCACCAAAGATGGTGTAGTTCTAGAACCAGAGAGCCCCAAAACCCAAAGCCCAAAGTCTTCCCATGGTTCAGTTGAAGCTTGTTGCCTATACTCTCACAGCCTCCAGCACTAAGATAGTGCTTCAGCCACACCATTACATAATTTGCTGGGAGCGCAGATGTACATGATATCTCATCCAGTCGTCTCACCCAGTCATCTCATATCGCTCTTAAATAGGAGAGTGGGAGCATCGACCCCTGCAGCACTTCCACATATTAGGGGCTGAACACTAGATCTCTCCTCTCCAATCATCAATTGGAATTGGCCCCAGAGAAAGGAGGTGAATCAGCCCAACCCATGCTTTCCATCCCCAATTTCTGAGTTTATCCAGAAGGATATCATGGTTTGATGGTATGAAAAGCTGCTGAGAAGTCAAGCAAAGCAAGAAAGGGATTCACCACCATCACCCCACCCACACCAGAAATCCGCCAAAAGCACAACTAAAGCCGCTTCTATTCCATATCCACTCTCAGGTTTGAAACCTAACTAAAAAGGATCCAGATAATCCACTTCATCCAGGGCCCTCTGAATCTACTGCACAATGTTCCCCAAAAAGAGGAAACTGGATACTGAGTTTTAAAAAAAATGTCCCGTAGTAAGAGGCAACTATGAAACACTGACTATCAAGGGATAAAGAATAGAACAGAAAAATAGAAAATGGGGGTGAAAAACCGTAACCTGAAACAATAATAGTTTCTCCGGTAAAATTAGTCTAATGTAAAATTGCTTTTCTTTTATCATTATATTCTCTAGTACAGTGGTTCCCAAACTTGGCAACTTTAAGACTTGTGGACTTCAACTCCCAGCCCGGCTCTGCTGGCTGGAGAATTCTGGGAGTTGAAGTCCACAAGTCTTAAAGTTGCCAAGTTTGGGAACCACTGCTCTAGTATGTAAAAATTTCTCATACATACTTTCTTCCATCATAATGCTAAAGTCACTCATGCAATAGCAGCAGCACTTATACACTGCTTCCTAGTGCTTTACAGCCCTCTTTAAGCCAGGGCCTGCAGGCCGGATGTGTCATGCACAGGCCATGCCCACTCCCGGTTTAGCAAAGGGGGGAAAAGTTGCAATGTGTCACATGACGACAATGTGTTGTCATTAGTTTGACACCCTTGTTCTAAGTGGTTTACAGAATCCGCATATGCAACTATCCTAAACTGAAGCGGGAAAGCCCAACTTGCCAAACATATATAAACTGTTTTAAATATGTTGCTGTTATTATGCCTCATAATTAATCAATGTATTCTTTTTCTTTAAAGTTAAATTTGTACTTTAATAGGTCTAAATGTTTGCTTTTATATAAATACAATAGAGAGAAAGCAGTTAATGATGCATGGTCTCATCATTTATTTATTAAATTCCTGTATCATCTCATAGCAAGGTGCCTCAGCAGCATATATTAGAAGCTATTAATGGCAAGTGAGTACAAGTGAGCAATTAGAAAACATAACTGTAAAAAAAAGTATGAAATTTTGATAAGCTCTTCCCAGAGGTCTTCTCATCTTTGCCTATGCTGGTGCATTTCATTTTAATTTACCTGATTGTTAGCTTCCAGTTTGTTCAGCTGGAAACCACAAACAAACACTAATTACTTTGACATCACAAAGTCATATTGTCCTTACCACCTCCCCAGACAGCAGGGATAAATTATGAAGGGTAGACAAGATAATAACTTGATAAATGATGAGTCACATCACCTCTTTGTCAATCATCCATGAGGGCTCACACAAGATACCACTCAATCTCATTACTAAATCCTAAAACTACAATGACAATACACACCAGGAATTTTCTTTCAAACAGCAAGCCATCTTGCTGGATACAATCCAATAGATGGTGACTGAATTTCCACAATAGTTTATATTTCTCTAAAAAATATTCAAACATGAGGGGGAAAAAAACATAGTGGAAGCCACTACTTACTTGCTGCACAAATATATAACATTTTGCACATTACGATGTTCAAATTTTCCAAGTTACATTTTTATTCTTGGACTTTAATTGTATAAAGCACACTTTATACATTCTATTATATATTCCATAAATGTTATTTCTAGGCTATTGCTGTTGAATTTTCTGAAATAAAATGTTCTCTTTCTGACCCAAAATTATTTTGAAACAATTTAAATAAGCACTCAACCACATTTATTTTCCTTTCATTCTGCTATCCATCATGCTCATATTTTTCTTTCCCTTTGTACATTGTTTAGACCGAACTGTTACATTTCTAGTATAAGGCTTCCCTAAAATTAAGTTCCACCACTATTGTAGCAATCCTGATTGAAAGAAGTTTAAATGAATACAGTGTGATCATCACTAAAAAAAACATATACAATATTGTCACTAGTATCTAATTCAAGCCAAGAAAAGAACAAATGTTTATTCATATCAAAGCAACTTCTGAGGAATCCAAGAAATATCATTAGTGTTTTTAGTGAAAATATCCATCAAAACATTTTCCTCACTTTTTAGAGAGGGAGGGCTAGTTTGTAGAGTAAAAAAGAATGGAAGTTGTTTCTTTAAATATTTTTTTCTTTTTCTATCTATACTGGTTTTTATACTTTTTTACCATTTTTCTTTTTCAACATTCCTTTATATATGTTCATTTGTTTATGTAAAAATTAAAAAACAAAGAATAGAAATGCAAAAAAGAAAGCTCAACCAAATAATAAAATGTAATTTTAAAAAAAGAAAATTAATTCCCATTTAAAATAATTTCCCAAGTAACATATTCCTAATTAATAAATAATTTCAGCTTCTGAAAATTTATGTCAATTTATAGTGAAATGCAATAAGCCTTTGGGAACATGATAATTAACTGAAAAGCATGCAGTTTTGTTAAGCTAACCAAATCGAGGCCTTAGTTCATGCAACAACAATACACTGCATTACATTACTTGGCAGACAAAATTCAGCAAGCATTTAATTATAAGCCCACTTATCTATCAATTTGTTAAACACTGATGAGGATTTTATCTATTCACATCAATATCTGGATTTCAAAGAAAACTTGTCACTAATAATATGGACTATTCCTATGCATCCCTTGAATATCCTTGATTTTCAAATACATTACCGCCCTGGTGCATGGCATTCTGATATTAACATCTAATTTTTAACTGTATTCTACATTGTTTAAAAATTGTTTGCTTAAAAAAATACCTTTATGTTATTGACATGGTGGGAAATCCATATATACAGTGGGTATAAATTACAATTTCCTTAGAGAGGATTTTAGGAAGATCTTGAAGAGGCATACAACATCTTTAGTACTACCTGCCTAGTAAAAATATGGTAGAAGATATGTTATATGCATATTAACATCAGAAGTTATTCTTCTTTCCAAGCTTCCTAAGATGTTGTCTCCTCTCTCAGCTTTCTAAGCTCTCTTGCTCATACCTAGTATATATCCACTGTGGGCTTATTGTTTCTATGGTAGCAGTGACATCATAAAGCACCACTGTATTATCCAATCACTTGAGGACAATGCACCCACAAGTCATTTATTTTTTTAAATGTCCTCTCTTACTCCATAACTACTATATATCGATATTGAAGAATATATGAATGTCTATTATTTCAGTCATTGTTGAAATGTGAAAATTAGCTTTTGCACTATGAAGAATTCAAAGATGTATTTAAAGATAAATATAAACTTTCTATCATGATTTGGATCTCCCATCTCATCATATTATTTGTTAATAGAATTTTGGATATCTCAACATCCTTTTCAAAATATATTTGATTGAATAAAAAAGATTTGTAAAATGATATTTCCTTAAGAAGAGACATCCTATTAAAATGTAGCTTAAAATAATGGCAAATATTCATTGAGTATTTGGATGGGATCAACACAGTTAATAATCTAGAAAATAATGTTACAACAAACAATGGGTACTTACAGCATTTGAATCAACATCACTGTGTATGGCAACTGTTTTAATTCCCATCTTCTTGCATGTTTTAATTACCTAGTCAGGGAGTGAGGAGGGAAATATTGTTTCTTTTAGTTAACTGCTTTAAGTAAAAGCAAAGAACTACACAATAACTACAATTTTGAGATGTTACTTACCCTGCAGGCAATTTCTCCTCTGTTTGCAATAAGAAGCTTATCAAAAGTCTAGTGAAGGAATGAGGAGAAAAAAAGTATCCTTCATAAATATAATGTAAACAGAGATATTTACACTTACATTTGGTGTCATTCAATGAATACAAAAATGTGAAATCTAATAACTAAATATATTAAAAATGATTATTTACAAAACATTAGTATGATTCAGTGATGGGTTTTAACTCCTGTTTCAACCAGTACGGTTGGAACGGAGCCAGCATGTCCTCGTTCTAGCGCCTCCACGATGTTCCAGCTGCTCCGTGGCGCGTCACACAGGCACTGTATGCGCCATGTACGTGCGCGGCAGCACAGAAGCTTTAAAACACAGGTAAGGAGTATGGGTGGGTGGGCCCTCCAGAGCACCGTACCGGAACGGTATCTGGTGCTCCGAGCTGGCTCCAGTATGCCCGTACCGGGGTGTACCTCCGGCAACCCACCACTGGTATTATTTCATAGAAATAAAACTTACCTAAGAGTGGTAAACAGACTTACAACAAACTTGTGCACTCTCTGTTTTAAAACCTTTATTTAGTTAAGCAGAACAACAACAAATTCCTTTTAAAAAAGGAATAAGAGGACAAGATTATCACAGAAATGTATATGAATATATATGTATGTGTATATACAAAAAATATTTACACAAAAGTTTCAACAATGGATGCTATATTTGATAATAATCTATACATTACCTACAGTATATCTGTAAAGAATTAATTTGTAAGTTGCAAGTAACTTCACGTCATTGCAAATAGGACAATAAATATAGTTTTCCAATGCTGAAAGACTAGTGCAGGTCTGTCAAACTCACAGCCCGCGGGCCAGATGCATCACGCACTGGCTACACCCACACCTGGTTTAGCGAAGGGGGGGGGAAGTCACAATATGTCATGTGACATGAGTTTGATACCCCTGGATTAGTGTGTTAACACTAAGAACACAGCAAATCTACTGTTTGTATATTCTCTTTTATAGTCCCTTATTCACGGATAAGACAGGGTTGAAATATGCCAAGTTATTTGATGGATGAATCCCAGTCTTTATAGTTATTTATCTGCCATTGATGGTATCTAAGGCTTTTCAAATTTAGTTTTGTTTTGATATAGTTAATGTGTGCCTACAATAGCATGCTAAGAACCAAAGAAAAGTTTCAAAGCAACCTAAGTTAAAGAGAAAGTAGCTTTCAGCATAAAGAAACATAGGCAACTATCTATTATTGAGTTGAAGAGAATAGAATTCTATGTTAGTTAAGGTGGTAACAATTTATATAAATACTGAAGAGAACATAAGCCATAATACAGTCCTGTGTCTTTAATGAGACATTAGCAGAGAGATGGATGTCCCTATCACATCTAACCTATGTAACTGTGCAACATCTTACTAACCAAAGTAATCTCCAATCTATGGTTGAATGAAACAACAATAGAAGCTGATTTTAAATCAATAAATAATACAGGAAAAATCCAATCTTCTCCTTTAAGTCTTAAGACATATACTTTAACTCTTTACTGTCCGAAAAATAAATATAAACTATACTGTATCCAAAAATATCCACATAAATAATTACCTTTTCATTTGGATTATAAACCGTTGAGTGAAAGCCACGAGAAGTGATAAGGCACCATCTATAGCCTGCAAGCTGTACAATATTCTGCAAAGGAAAGAAAATAAATGAAATTACTATTAATCACACATCTTGGGAAAAGGCTACTTTTTACCAACTGTATGACTACATAAGAAAAAAGAATTTTGCCAGCTTCTGAAAATGTTTTGTATGTCCATCATACAAATATTAATAAATAGTATTAAATATTTGTTTATATTTATTAATATTAAATAATGGAAATATTATTTTTAAAATGTCAGGTATTGTAACAAACTTCTACATCAGATTAATGACTTGATTAAACATAAAATAGTCTCAGAATTACAGAACAGAATTGGAAGAACCTTAGAGGTCTTCTAGTTCAACCCCCTGCTCAAGCAGGAGACACTATACCATTTCAGACAAATGGCTGTCCATCTCTTATTAAAAATCTCCAGTTGATGGAGCACCCATAATTTTTGAAGGCAAGCCATTCTACTGGATAATTGTTCTGTCAGGAAATTTCTCCTCAGTTTCTCCTTAGTTGCTTCTCTCCTTGATTAGTTTCCATCCATTACTTTGTATACTGCCTTGAGATACTTTGGAAGACAGGGTGACCCCTCTTCTTTTGGAGCCCTTCAAATATTGGAACACTGCTATCATGTTATTCTTAATCCTTCTTTACAGTTGATTAGACCTACCAAATTCCTGCAAGTGTTCATGTTTTAGCCTCCAGCTTCCTAATCATCTTTATTGTTCTTCTCTGCACTCTTTCCAGAATCTCAAACTCTTTTTTATATTGTGGCAAACAAAACTGAATGCAGTATTCCATGTATGATCTTACCAAGGCATTATAAAGCGGTACCAATACTTCATGTGATCTTGATTCAATCCCTCTGTTAATGTAGCCTAAGACTACATTGGCTTTTTTTGGCAACTGCAGCACACTGCTGGCTCATATTTAAGTGATTGTCCACTGGGACTCCAAGATCCTTCTTGCAGTTACTAGTATTGAGCCAAGTTCCATGAATTGTATACCTGAAGATTTGTTTTTTCTTGCCTAACTAAAATTTTACTTTTCTCATCACTGAATTTCATTTTGTTAGATAGGGCCCAGTTTTCAAGTCTGTCAAGATTCATCTGGATCTTGAGACTATCTTCTGGGGTTTGGCTACTCCTGCCAGCTTGGTGTCATTTGCAAATTTGATGAGGTCCACTTCTATTTCCTCATCTAAATTATTGATGAAGCTATTGAAGAGTACTGGACTTAACACAGAACTTTGAGCTACCTCACTGGTTACTTCCCTCTATGTAGATATAGATCCATTAAAGACTGCACATTGATTGTAGTTTGTCAGCCAGTCTCAAATCCAGTGATGATGCTATCTATCCCACATTTTTTTAGCTTACTAAGAAGTAGGTTGTGGTCTACCTAGTCAAATGCCTTACTGAAATCCAATCCAAATTCTACGTGTGCAGCATTTCACTGGTCCATTAATTTATTCACTTTCTCAAATAATAAAATAAGATTTGTATGGCATGATCTGTTTCTGACAAACCTGTGTTGGCTTCTGATTATAACTGTGCTTGCTTCTAGGTGTTCGCAGATTTGTTGTTTGATTAAGATCTTCCCAAGTATTGATGTCAGGCTGATTGATCTCTAGTTTCCTGGATCCATTTCCCCCCTTTTTTTAATATGGGAATCACATCAATTCTTTTCCAGTCCTCTAATAGTTCTCCAGTGCTCCAGGGTCTTTGAAAGATATGATTCAGTGGTTCCGAGATCACGTCTGCCAGCTCCTTCAGAACTCTGGGATGTAATCCATGTGGTCCTGATGATTTGGACAGGTGTTCTATTACCATTGTCTTACCCTGTTTCCCCCAAAATAAGACCTCCCGGGATAAGAAGCCCAATCGGGCTTTTGAGTGCATGCACTAAAATTAAACCCTCCCCTGAAAATAAGCCCTCCCCCAAAATATTGCAACACAGCAGCAGCTATGAGGTGACCACACTCGCCGCCTCCTGCACTTCAAAAATAATAAGACCTAAGGCCAAGTGCTTATTTTGGGGGTCAAAAGAAAATAAGACCCTGTCTTATTTTCGGGGAAACACGGTACTTACTTTAATTTGAAGTCCTACTCTGTCTTTTACGGCTCTGTTTTTGCTGGGTTAGGTTATTTTTTACTTTTTGCGGGAAGACAGATGCAAAGAAATAATTAAGCCGCTCTGCTTTCTTCTTGCTGCCCATCACTTCCTTGCCATCTTTTCCCATTAGTGCATTGATTATTTCCTTGCCTTTTTGTGTGTGTTGTTTTTTACATGTTGAAAGAAACTTTCGTATTATTTTTGACATTTGTCACAAGTCTCGGTTCATTCTGAACCTTAGCTTTCTTGACTTCATCTTTTCAGATTTGGGACATGTGTTGGTATTCTGCCTCAGTTATGTCTCCCTCTTTCAATTTTTTGTACTTATTCTTTTTGTTTTTCAGTTCATCAGAGTTCTTTATGCAATCATGCGGATTTCTTCATGGATTTCTTATTTTTCTTTATAAGTTATACTGTGCTGGGCTTTTATAATCATTTTTTTTTTTTCTGACTGGATATTTTTATTTCATTTTCATTTTCATTTTATACAATCACTTATATACTGTGCATAAAAAAAAGAAAAAAGGAAAAAAAAAAACCCAACATAACACTTCATTCCCCCATACGCCCTCTCTTCTCCCCCTCCAACTTTCCTTTTCCCCTCTTCTACTTCCCTACCCCCTCAGACATCTCCCCCTCCCTCCATTTACCCTCCTTACAAGGAAAGTTGGAGGGGGAGAAGAGAGGGCGTATGGGGGAAAGAAGTGTTATGTTGGGTTTTTTTTTTTCCCTTTTTTCTTTTTTTTATGCACAGTATATAAGTGATTGTATAAAATGAAAATGAAAATGAAATAAAAATATCCAGTCAGAAAAAAAAAAATGATTATAAAAGCCCAGCACAGTATAACTTATAAAGAAAAATAAGAAATCCATGAAGAAATCCGCATGATTGCATAAAGAACTCTGATGAACTGAAAAACAAAAAGAATAAGTACAAAA